GATGTATTTGTGCCGTTTCTAAATAAAAAAATGTGGAAAAGGCTTTTAAGAAAATATTTTAGAGGCTATGAAAATTGCGAGGACTACAACTACCATCATGCTTTGCGGAGACAACCTGCAACACGGGTTCATTGGTTGGAAAGTCACTGGACAATTATGATTCTCATTTGCCGGCTTTAAAGGGGTTCCTGCAGTGTAAGGCCKGCAAGCAGGACACCAAGTCCACTATAACAAGAAAGATCTGAACAAAAACTTTATCGTATTTTTATAACAGCACAAAATTACAACTGATGATTTTAATTTCTGTCAATTTTTGGGTTTTATTCGGTATTATTTATAAAGTTTCCGCGCGTTTTCGATGTTCGTAGTTGACAAGTCGTTGGCCAACAAGATATCTGTAGAAACAAAACATCACTATCAATACACAATAATGGAAGTTATTTAACTAATGCGACCTGCGGCCGTGTTTCTAATAACMTAAGGACCAGAGAACGAAAATCAGAAAGTTTTCCATCCGCATTGCAACACAAACAAGTGTACGTGGACTTACTTATCGTTTTTGATTCGTTCATAAAGACGTTGAAACTGTCTTCCTTGGAATACTGCACACACAACTACCAGAATCACGGCCAACAGGAATGGATAAATACGTCGCATGCAGTACAGTCTTGTCTCGGTTGATTCGACTGCAATTGAAAGGTCACATATGCATAGTTAGGTACAATTCACTAGTGAATGGAGACGGAAGCAGAACGTAAGGACCGAAAGATTATTATTTTTCATTCCGATTTCTTCACTGCTTGTGTCTCTGTTCTTTGATTACCGCTTGTGTCTCCGTTCTCTGATTTGCAAACGACCGCAGTCGCCTTCCCTCGCAATCTACTTCTCCGCTTTCTTCTCGCTAGAAATATTTACTTTATTGTACTGATGTGAAAGTATGCACTAAACTCAAATTAGAATAAGAAATTACCAAAAACCTTTTTGGTGTTAATAACTTAAAACTTGAAGTCATATGGAAACCAATACTGTGTCAAATTATACCGAACTAAGGAACTTTCAAATAAGGCARTACTTACCAAATATGGGTACAATGCCAGCAGCTATAAAATAAGGGACAGCAAGGGATAAAAGAAGAGTGAAGACRACAGGTGCCGCTAGTTTCCTAAGGATAAACATTGTGTTTACATGTCGAATGCCATCATTGTACACTTGTTCAAGGACTCGTTTCAGCCACCAGTTTGGTCCCATCATTGTCACGGCGCAAATAATTTTCATATGCAGGACGCCCAGGGCCCAGTCCTAAAGACAGGGAGGCAAAAATTTTGGGAAAATKGTAACTACATGGAAATAAAAATGGGAAACGAAAAATGGAAGCAAATGAAAAACGCAAAGTAGAAGAGAGTCAAGATCAAAGAAGACCACAAACACAAGCTACTACGCAAAGTAATAATCACCTGCCAGGGGAAGTAGAGAGGGGTTTGGTCATGCGCAACTCGTATAGGAATGACCACAATGAGCTCAAACARCAGGCCGAGTAGAAATGGAACTAGTCCAATGAGTATTGCAGCAATGAATACCAATTTTAGTCCCTGTAAAAAAAAAAACAAACATTAACGTATATTTTAGGGCATAAAGAATACAAATTACATTGTACATACTTCTATCCAAGAATCTATAAGGTGTAGTGACTTACCAATAAAATCCAGCCGCCAACTTTCTCAGCCATTCCTTGGAAACCAAGAGGAACCCATGACAGAGTCACAGTGCAGAGCCTGCAGATAACCCAGATGACATACAGGCCACAAGCAGCTGTGTACAACTCATGTACAGGTAGTTTACCCATCCATAGAGACATGATGGTACGCCCRATGCACACTGGGACTGTTAGGGTCACAAAACTTGCAAAGGACATGGATACGCACATAAACAACACTAGCATAGCGATCTGGGGATGAATTACAGAAAAACAAATTGTGGCAGATGTCATATAAGGAACATAAAAACACTATGCTCTTGCCTTAATTGCGTATGTAAGTTCGTATKTCATTGAATTTACGAAAATGCGAGATAGTGAACCTACCTTTAGAGAAAACGCATTTGGTCTGATGTAAGGCTGAAAACCAAACACAGTTCCATCTGCATTGTGTACAACTGGCTGTGCAGGTTGCCCAGCATTATCGTTGTCATTACCGTTGTTGGCATTGATTGGTTGTCCATTGTTAGCAAGGCCATAGCCGTACACCTAGAGGAAAAATAATTACATGAATGAAAGCATGAACGCCTGCATATAAAGCAACCAAAACAGAGCATARCAGTTTCCTTGACATACATTTTCTTGTCCATCTAAAGAGACATCTCCCARAAGATACGATCGTAGACCTCTATAGAACAAAATAATAATTTATAATAATTAAAGAATTACAKAAAACTGCTCAATTGTCAAGAAAGAATCAGACGAAGAGAAGTAGTTTGACATGCCTTGTGTAATAACAATAATAATAATTAAATTTTGGAAATACTTCTTAAGGCATTAGATAAGTTTAATTCCAGACGTTTCGGTGAAAAGTATTTCCAAAATGATTATTAAAGAATCAGACATTTAGSAAGAGATACTTTGATTACTGGAATTCTATAGCTTACAAAATATACGCRGCAGATACAGCCCAAAATCTGATGGCGCTTTTAAGCCACTGTCTTGTGTGTCCTTGCTCTAGAACAGCAGGTAGGACCACTTGAAGAAGGAGAAGTTCAAGAGACAATTCACTTACTGGAGCTTCACTGAAAAATTGTACATGTGAAAAGTAAGTAACAGTGATGTTTATTAGTGTTGTCAGTTTATATCAACTAAGATGTCATTACAAGGAATATTTAACTGACTTCATAAGCTACTTGAGTCAAAACCTTTTGACAAAAAATACCTAAACTTTTCCAGGGCAACTGCATATAGTTATTTAAAAACCCTGGAGTAACCCTGTAGGATCCTGTAACATCCTGTRGGATCTTGTAGGATCCYGTAACATCCTGTAGAATTTTGTAAGATCCTGTAGAATTTTGTAAGATCCTGTAGGATCCTGTAGAATCCTGTATCTTGAATAGGATCTTACACAGGATACTGTAATATCCCACAGGATCCTACAGTCTCCTGTCACAGTGTTAGATCCTATTCAAGATCTTACAGGATCGTACAGGATCCTTGTCTAAGATTTGCAGCAGGGAAATTTATGATTCTCTTGGTATTTACCAAAATTGACGTCATCGAATCGTAAAGATTATAATGACTTAAACTCAGGTGTTTGTATTTGTTCACACTACATCTTTATTTCATCTGTGTATATTATATATGGGTAAAGACGCATGAAAAAACAATGTTTAGTACCTTGAAAGCTGCACATTATAGGGAAGGAACTTTGGGATACACCACTTGATGAGACTGACAGGCAGAAACATCATGAGAAGAACAGTTGTACCAAACACAACCTAGAAAAACATTTTAATCAATTAGTTATTGCCTTTAATTGCTGGTTTTCAATCAATTCTTGAGATTCAAAAGACAACTACATGGCAGCCATGTTAGTGCATGTGAAAAAGATGAAGAAGACATCTTTTCTTGACGGACCAACATTTTCATTTTTTTTTAACTGATTCATAAAAGAGCATAAAATTTTCTTGGAGTCTTTTCTTACCAAAGACAGAAGAAATCTTCTCGCATGTCGATACACAGGTAACCGAATCATCTGAGGACAAAATGTAAGTAAAATAAGTTTAGTCACCATAAAATTACCTATTTTTTTTTCTGGAAGTAACAAAACATTGTCAAGTATACAGTACATGTACCTCTTGTACAGGATGGAAGTCAGGATCATTAAGATTCCTGAGGAACCATAACACACCAGGACGAAGAACTTCTCTTAACAGCAGGACAAACGAYGCAAAGTAAAATACATAGACCATGCCTACTAGCCAGTGAAGAAACATGGCTGTACCAGGAGCACTACTCAGACTTTGCATACGGTCTTTTAAAGTAGCACCAAACAAGGCCTGGAGAAGGACAACATGTTGGTCAATTGTATCTGAGATACATACTGGTAATTATAAAAAAAATCGATATACAAAAGAATTAATGAAGAAAAGGATGGATGAATGAATGAATGAATGAATGAAAGAATATCCCTCTGAACCGTATCTTACCAGGGAACAGATATCAAGCCACCAACCACACACCAATGGAAATATACCAATCTCAACAACCATCAATAGAGAAACCTAAAAAGAATGACATTTGATACTTAATATATCTTGCTGAAAAAATCACTGAATTTTAAACAAAAATACTTACTTTTACAACAACATAACACAGTCCAAATACTCTCTTAGCTCTGAGAAACAATGCAAAATTTGATTATTTCAATATGATGTTTCCTTTTGATTCTTTTGGAACTGTTTCAAAGATGGGGCAGTAGCAACAGTCAGTTTCATCTGACTTCAAAAAAAAATAGGATATCTGCTGTTTGCCACAGAATGCAACCAGATCCTCAGCCACCGGCATTTTCCAAAGGAGAGGTGAGAAATATGAGAAATAATATGATATAATCAACAAACAATCTAGATTACTGGTATTTGAATGAGTGTGCAAAATGATACTTACTTTCTCAAAGCCAATATTGATGAAACACACTGCAAAAATGACTAAGTCAAGGAATAATACTGAAATATCACTACCAATTAAATTTTTAACTGCATTTCTCATCTTATTTCATATGCTTTGGACCACTTGAAAGATCACATTCACATACAATGGCGACAAAAACAATGCAACTGTACGTCACATGTATGTATCTACAAAGCCTATCTTGCCTGATAGCAATAGTCAACTGGAAATAAGAAGAGGGTAGTAATAGTGAATAGAAAGGAGGTACGTATAATTATAATAATAATAATATGATGAAAAATTGTGGAAAGCGATCACTATCTCATCACTATCACTATGCTTCACAAACACAACATTATTGTTAATTATGTAAGTAATAGATGAAATTGAAAAATTAATGGTTAATTTACAACAAAGGATACATGACAAAAGACAAGTAAGAAAGCTAATATTACATATCCAAGGACGGTTTTTAGCACTCCTTCAAACCTGGATGATTGGACCTGTAAGAAAACAAAGACTAATATCAAAAATGTTGTATGGATAGAAAAGATTATGTTGATGAAGGTAATAAAGATAAAAACTTACCGTTTCTTCAATTGACATTAAAATCACAGCAAATTGTCCAATATGGAAAGGGCAAAATGCTGAAAAACAATAAAAATATTGATTTGAGCAATGAAAGGGTCACAATTTGACAAGCATTATAAACAATGATTTTGAAGAATGAAAGTGGAAAGTTGGTTGGTTGGGCAGTCACAACATTGGTATGACTCTCATTAACCAACATGAAATACAAAAACATGATGATGCATTGTGGTATAGATTTAGTACAAACAATGCCATATTTGGCAGCAAATCTAGAACACAATGCAATGCAAACTGCACTATCTCAGAAAAGGCATATTGCAGGGCAGCCTGAAGTGCCAGGAGACTGGGGACAACTGCAACCCAGGTTAGTTGGACAGTTGAAGTTGTTYGGCACAAGTTTTAAAAACAAGGTTTTTGTTGTATGTGATATAGTTAGTTCTTTATTTACAAACGAAATACAGAATACATGGTTAACCTGCATTATAACCTGCAGATTAAAATTATATAGAATGGAATGGAAGTTGATAAGCATCACAATGGCTTTGAAGAAGAAAGCAAAGAAATTAATTATAAGAATCCAGCACTTACCAAAGACTAATATAAATGATGTATTGAGAGAAACAACCCAGAAGACATGTTCCTAAAAACATAACAACATAAGTTATGAATCAAGTGATAAAAATTACAGCCACACGTACTTACAGGGCGATAGCATAGTGGCTTGAGCCTCGTTCTAAAGTACTAGCCACAAAAACATTTAAACTGGTAAATACTCACCAGAAACACCAATGAGCCATCTAAACCAAGCATCTGAAAAGATGTTGAAAACAAATTAGTTCTGGATTCAGTCTTTTTAAATAACTGTTCAATTTATAAAAAACTTGACTACAATTATATTAAAATGAATCAATGTTAACAGCAATTCCCCCACCCCACCCTCAATAAAATATTCAACTGAATATTCATTGTTAATAGACAACCATTTGGATGATTGGTTGTGACAATTTAGACGTGCAAAACCAACAAGAAATTTTGACATTGAAACAGTCCAAACAGTTGAAGTAAATTCAATTGGCAGAATTAAATAATCAATATGAAGTTTTGAGAATGGTATACAAAAGTACAGGTAATACATGTATGGATAGTGGGATTTAAAGGAACATGGTCCACCAGCATTCAATGCAGTCGTGTTCTAGATTTTTTGATATATGGAAAATGAGGTGACTTTGAATAACCATTTGCAATCTGTTTCTATCCATTGGTTTAAAGCTTTAAATTAAAGGGCTACTTGGATGAAAAATGGCAAAACACTGGAAAAGGCACGAAATTCTTGTAGACTTATCAATAAAGATCCTATAATCACGAAGCAATGTATTTTGACAAGATATTGATACAATTTCTTAGGAATTTTGTCAAAAGATTTTGGAGTATATGACGTCATATACTCCATCCTTTTGTTCTATCTTCGTTTGAGTAAAACAATTTTCTGCTTTGGAATGACATTCATAACAAAACTTTTCTCTGAGAAAGTAATATAGGTAAATATGAGTCATATATTTGAATTACACAGAGTTCTGAAATTAGTGCTTCTTCGTGCAAGTAGCACTTTAACTACTTATAAATAATTATTAAATAATGCAAATATACTCACTCTTTCCCAGGTCAGTTCTTCAGCTGCTCTTTCCCACTCCACAGGATTCCAATTGTTCTCATCTAAAAACAAAACACTCACAGTTGGCTGCAAAACATCTGACATAATAAAAAATACTGCTCAATTTATCACAGCGAGTGAGTTTCAAATTGTTTTCTATTTTTGACAGTACCATTATTAACAACTGCATTATCCATCGCTTGATTAGCGTCATTGTCATCATCATCAATATCTTCGGCATTTGCTTGTACTCCAGCTTCTGCTTGATCGGGATTTGCACCATTTTGATCACCATCTTCACCTGCCTGGTCTCCCTACAGCCAAAAATAATAAATATTATATCATAAACAATAATTGTACATRCTGATTGACTGTAAAAAGCACTGAAATGAATAAATCAAGTATGACAGTTTTATTGATAATTATAGCCTAAGGCTATGCCAGGGGATCWTTCRGCCTTTGTTTATTAAAAAAAGGTTCAAGCAATGTATTAGACTAACATAGATGTAGTGTTTAAAAACGAGCAGGAGTGGTTTATCAGGAGATATAGACACGAGGCCTACTACTTCTAGAAGTCCAACATCCAGAAATTGTTATCATTTTAGAAAAAAGCAAAACAATGCAGTGATTATGCATATTAAACTTCTACTGAGCATGTGCATTTGCCGCAATTGAAAGAATTTTGATCCCACAYGTAAGAACAGCTAGTCTATGCTATACTGGATGTCTGCACATTGAKTCAAACTGATTTAAAACCTAGCAAAGGTCTATGATGCGACATTAAAACTGAGACCTTTGCTAGTGTTGGGTTACGATAAAGTGCTGATGACCTTGAACATCAGTTCTTTATATATCTGATGTAGAACTGATTAATAAAACATCAGTGCTTTATCAGGATATAAAGGCCCATCATGTGACCCAACAGTTTGATGCTCATTGGACAAATAGCTCATGAATTATTAATGAGTTCTAGAAAGTGGTGATAACAAATGACATACTTATTATAGTGTTATTGCTACACTCACCCCTTGTTGTCCATCAAAGAGGTGGCCTGGTAAACGTGCTATTGGATCTATTTGTTGATGTAACCATTCAGGGCCACCATTCAATACAATCTGCTCTCTGAGCCATACTAAACTAATAAAGGCACAAAGTGTACATGCAACTACAAAACAGCCACGGATACAATCCATCAGAACATTTTCACTGCAAAAAGAGAAACAGATATTCAATGTACAATCAACTGATCAACCAACCAACCAACTAATCAATCAATCAACCAATCAATCAATTAAGCAACAATAAACAAATCAACCAATCAATCAACCAACCAAATCATTTAATCATTCAATCAATTACGGTAAGCAACCAATCAATCAAGTAACCAACCAACCAACCAATCAATCAACCAAATCATTTAATCATTCAATCAATTAAGCAACCTATCAATCAAGTAACCAACCAACCAACCAATCAATCAATCAAAACATTTAATCATTCAATCAATTACGGTAAGCAACCTATTANTTTACACTAGCTTGGTAAACACAAGGTTAACAAAATAATAACATAAAATATATTACTTACGTTGAGAGCATGTCTAATGGTAAGGTGAGAAGCGAACTGACAGAACCAGTGAAAAGACATCTATAAATTCGATCTAAAAGAAATAATTAATAATTATTTATTTGAAAATTTACACTCATTTTGAAGTTGTTGATTTAAAAAAAAATTTTTTTTCATTAACAGTTCATATATATTAATTTACATGTAAATGAAGATGCATTTTCACTATTGCCAACGGACATACTGTCTCAACAAGAGAGTGATGGAACATAAGCACTTATTGAAAATTATCTTTTTATACAATTATTTGTGCAACAACATGCAATGTTTAGTGTTCTTGTATTGAGTAAATGAATGTCCAAAACACTGTATGGCTACATGCTTTTCTTTAATTGTTGTCTACACAAAATAATGAATTTTCCAATGCTCTCTTGACAATGCATTTCCCCTTGAATGAATATTTCTTTGTGCTTAATGAACAGCAAAAGGTACATACAGGTAAGCATGAAAAAATTAACATTCTTGTAACGGAGGAGGTTTAATAAAACAAAACTAGTTTTACAGACAAGATAAAAACTACTGTAATTTTGTGTGTCAAGACCAAACATAGTGTGGTGAAATCAAGATGAAATTAATATCAAAGTCTTGCCAGGCCAAAATACTCCTAATATCAAAGAACATTCACTTACATGCAGTGATAGGCACTACTCCAAGCCACGCTATTGCGACAAGGGTGTAATGTAGCCAATAACGTACTGCTCTTAGGATATTTCTTGCTAGACCACTTATGAAGTCTTTGATGGGAAGATGGGTTGGCATATCGGGTGAATATACTAGKGAAAAAAGGAAAAAACTATTGTTTAAAAACCAATAATTTTGTCATTYAATTAGAAATTTGTACTCACTTGGTTTGAAAGTAAAGCGGTGATTGCATAATTCACAATATCTGCAGACAGGAAGGAATCATTCAGACAACAACAAATTAAATAAAGTGAATCTAATTATGAATTAAATTTGTTAAATACATGTAAATGACGTCATTAAATTACAAATGACTGTACAACACTGTAAACAAACAGAATACGTATATATTGAGASACATTGAATATAATAATTTAATATAATTTAATTTCTTGCTTATCACGTTAGAAAGATGAATAGTTTTGTTTTGCTTTCGATCCTAAAGGGCACACGCAGTGAAGGTCTAAAGTTCACATATTATGCAAAATGAGAATCTAAAGCATTTTATAAGTAGCTATACATTTAATTATGTAATATTGATACTACTTACTCTTTTTTGCTGTGTTTTAACCACAGTAATAAACTGTAAAAAAAGTAAAACATCCTTAAAATGGAACATAAACAGAACCAAAGAAGTATTAAGAAATCGGCATTAAGTAAAGAAGGTTCTCGCAGACAAATTGTATGTCGTATGACAACGAAAATAGACAATCGTKACTTGACAAAYAGTGTCTGTTTAAATTTCTTACCATTCTTGGTGTATATATTTGATGCTTCCTGTACATATGCAGGGATGAAAAAGCTGTTTATCTGGTGTTGCTTCGGTTCGACACACTCTGCAGATGTCAACTAAAAACAAAAAGTGAATTAAAACAACGGTTGGCATCAAATTTGGTTATTACACCGGCGATCATTTCCACTGATTTCTCCCATAAAATACGTTACATTGCATAGAAAGAGAAGCTCTGTTCTCTAAGGATGTAATKTTAACGTTTGGATSTCTTAAATGTGACACAATACACCATTTAAATACCAGGAAGCCTACCTTCTGCTTCCCGATCTTCATCGTCGTCCATTTTGTTTTCATCTTACCATTATGACGTCATGTTTTAGACTTTACCCAGCAAGCAGCGCGCGCAATAACCCATTACTCCCAAGATGCAGTTCGTTGTTTTGGAATTTTCAAGATGGAGGCGATTTTCCACGAAAAGGTCTGTTTGTTGATAACTTCTCTATTTTACACARAGTATTCATCAGATTYCAATGACATATACCTGAAAATTTCWTCTTTGAATCTTTCTTTCAGCAAGAGGGTTCTCTGTGCGCTCAACATTGTCTCAACACTCTTTTGCAAGGTATTATATAACTTGACATTTGCGCGCAGKTTTTGAGTGGGCCTGTTTCGAGGAGTGGCAAAGTTATATTTCTTGGACAAATATTGTATTTTTTTCTCTTTCCCCTCATGATTGTGAAGTAATTTTAAAGATTTGATCAAAAGAGTTTAATTCAGGCTACATGGCAGCTAGWGTTTGACGTCTTTGGCAAAAAATGTGCATTGAACGAAAACCACAACTGAAAAAAAAGTTTTAAGTTAACTCTTAAAGTTTACTTTCACTTTTATTTTTTGCACGACGTATGGAATATATATTTTCTTATTGACATTCACAAGTAATTTTGGGAAACTGTTGCATGATTAAATTTCTTATTTATCTATGTATTTCTGTTTATATATGCATTTACATATTAAGCTTACTTGATTAATGAGTTCATTCTATTTATCATTTAAGGACCATATTTTACGCCTGTAGACTTAGCATCTATAGGGCAATCACTTGACGATGAAGAAAGGCAAAGGATGGCAGAAGGTGATGTCAACTCTGAAGAATACCAGAGATTTCTCCAACAACCCTCCTCAAACTAYGATGACAGTGGTTTCTTCTCGATTCAAGTCATGTGCCGAGCATTAAGTGTATGGTCACTAGAGCTTGTTCCTTATTCWAATCCAAGAGTTCAAGATGCCAGAGAGAACCCACAGTAAGGTTGATGGATTCAAAGTAAAACATGATAATGAATGTGTAAATGGATGGATGATAATTGAATGAATGAATAATAGAATAGATGGATAACTGAGTGGATATTTTGGATAAATTTTGGAGTGAATTGATTATTGAAAGGGAGGATGGAATATAATAAGAGGTTGATATTCCCCCTTATTGYATCCCTCTCTTGAGGCTGCACCCGAAACACAATCCAAAAASACATTTTGTTAATATTTTRATATCCSTTATCTAAGGTGGTTWACAAGCTTATTCTATTTCAATAGAAATCAAAATGCTTTTATTTGCAACCTACAACAACACTGGTTTACCATAAGAAAACTAGGGAATCAGGTAAGTACATTATCTCTTTGTACATGTAACTATATTAATATATGATAAAATAATGGTAGTTTTATAAATCAAGGGAAGTTTTCCTCYTGCAGGTAACATTAATGATAATTTTGTTGATTTATTTAGTGGTTTAATATCAATTCATTGAAGACTGAACCAGAGTTAATATCTGAAACATATCTGTCATTATTCCTTACACAAGTACAAGCAGAAGGTAGGACAAAGGCAGCTATAACCATTGCAGCTATTTCCTGTGCTTGTCTTGCATAGTGAAAAACTCGACCTCCACTACTGCAGTCATTAATACTCCAGTTTCAATATTTTGTTTTTGCAGCCTTAACCTTTGAAATCATGTAGTATATTAAGTTTTTATTGTCTTCTTTGTATGCAAAGTGTTTGTATTACAATAGGATCAACACTTTGCTTACAAAGGAGACAATAAAAACTTGATTGAAGCTTGCACAAAAGAGAAATTCAAAACTGGAGTATTCTACTTGTTTTTTTAATGCATCATTAATATGAGATGTTTTTCTTTCAAGGTTACTCAATATTCGTAGTCATTGGTGATCTACCACCATGTGAGGCTGATCAACTTCTAAGGTTTTGTCCTGCTAAACCAGTTAAAAAGCCAGCTTCAAAACCAGCAAAAGGCATACAAAAGAGTGATCTACAAGCAGCTCTAGATCAAGTTCAAAGTCCCTCRGGTAAAAATATGGTTTTTCATATCTGAGTTTCATTATGAACAACAGCAAGTAAATCATCATATTACTGTTAGGAATACGAAAAAAAAGAAAGGTTGATTTTACTGTATGATAAATCTTAAACTTGCCACAAGTCAGACTCTTTTGATTCACAAAAAAATAAAGCAAGTGCAGAGTCAGGGGGGTTAAAAAGAGACGTTGTGAAAGTCTAGACCAATCTTTATTTCTGTATGAAATCAGTATTAACTAAGAGTTTCCGAAATACAGTGTATATCATAAATAATAATAATTTATATACTTTATTTTGTTTGTAGTAACAAGACCTGTTGATATTGATGAGGTTAGACGAAAAAGAGAACAATACTTCAATAGGTACTTTAAGCTTTTAGCACATAACTATTTATGCACAACCCCCTCCCCCCTTCCCCCTTCCCCCMAAAAAAACAACGCCCCTACCCAATCAGTAACTGAGAGCTTCAAATTTTCTTAACAGTCAATTATCAAGTAACCCACAATGCAGCACAAGTACAAGCAGTTCAAAGTCATCAACTGATGTTCAGAAAAGTGACAGTACTGAAGGTACTTATAAATGAATCTATTGCATATATAAAAGTCTTGCAGTTTATAAGAATGTGGCTCAATCTGGGGGACAAAGCAATGGATTATGAGTGAGTGAGAAATTATTTTGTTTTGTCCCCCAGATGAAGCTGCTTTGACGTCACATACATCTCAGTGGTGTTTAAACAATAATTAACAACATTCTATACACCCCAGCCATCTGTGCATGGATAAAAATAATCAAATTTCATGATTTTACACAATCCATGATCACGATTAGATTGTAAACCATGTCCTTATGTCAGACTTTCTTGGATTTCAGAAATGACAGAAGATGAAATGCTACAAGCTGCTTTACTCATGTCACTGTCTGAAAACCCTTCATGACAAAACCACTAAAATATGATCAAAAAATAGAATAATGTTATATTCAAATTGTACTATTTACAAAGTAGTCTTTATTATATTTTGTAGAGTGATGTATAAAAAATAAGRCAGTGTATAG